TAGAAGGCTCTGGGTGTTGAGGAGAATGACCCTAATCTTAGTCCTTCCATGCAGAAGAGGGTCCTAATGGCACAATTTTCTAATTTTTTGCATCTTTCTATATCTCTTACTGCAAAATGAGAAGAGTTCTGGGAATAATGGAAATAATGAGCGTGATTTCCTCAAACACTAAAGAGCCATAATACACAACCTCTCTGTGCACATTTATTTTCCAGTACATCCAGAGCTGCCTGCAGGAGGGAGAGGGTGGCAACAGGGAGATTAAACAAAAGGGCAAAAAAGAATCCATTTTTTCCCTTCCATCAGTGCTAATAGTAAAGTTTATTAATTTGTGCTCTGCATCTTTGAGATTTATTTAGATGTTCGGATCTGCTGAGGTTTAGCATTGTGCAAACAACGAGGAAATGACTCTTCAGCAAATTAATAGCAAAAATAAGATTCAGAAGGGAATATTAATACCTACAAACACCTCTGCTTTCCAGCACTGAAAATCTGTTTTAGTAAATTGTTAGCATCTAATACAAGTAATTTGTTATGTACGTTTGAGCAGTTAAGATAGAACTGCATTTTGTTAATAGGACCTCTTTGTAGCAAAATCTTGCTGGTTCTTGTAACTACAGGTATCCTTCACAGGATATAGTTTTACCTGCAGCATCCTTTAGTGACCCAGCACTGGTCGTGGAGCTGGTAGGCCTGTAGTGTGTGGTTTTGGATCCAGGTGATCTTTAGGAAAGGTACTTGAACTGTCAGAGCCTTGAGTTTCTCATAGGTCCCATGAGCAGATGATTTAGCCTTAGAGCAGTAGTTCTCACTGCGAGGATCAAAATCACTTCCTAAGATACCTCACTGTCCTCCAACCTCTTTGAAAATTCTGATTATATACCTTTAGGTTAAAAAGTAATGCCCTACGCAATCCTAACAGCTCCCCAAATGATGTGATTCAGTATTGTGTAGTTCACAGTTTCCAGGATTTTCTTGTCTTGATGTGGGGGATGGAACTCGGGACCCTCGCATCCAGTGAAATCTCAGCCCTTTTATTTTTTGTTTTGAAACAGGGTCTTCCTAAGTCACTAAGTTGCCCAGGCTGGGCTTGAACTTGCAGTCCTCCTGCCTCAGCCTCCCAAAGAGCCGGACTTACAGGCTTATGCCACTACGCCCTCCTAGTTTTCAGGAATTTGATACTTTAAAAATATTTACTGTGCCAATGATGTGAAATCTACTAAAAGAGGAACAGGGGATCATACTGAGATGGTCCTCATGGTATTTATATCTAGTAATTCTGTTGGCTTCCATTCAGATCCAAATCACTGAAGTTTTACTTTGTTCATATGCAGGCACAGGATCCTCCTTTTAAACAATGAAAACTTCTAGTGAATAAATTCTCTTGCTCCAAAAGAGACAAGTGGTTCACAGTAGAGCAGAGTTTTTTCACTAAAGGTGAGAACCTTTAGTATGGAACAGCTTTTGAGAATGTGTTCTACTGAGACAGAAGCTGGGAGATTGTCCAGGGAATCTGATTATTAAACAGAAACTCAAGGTATTTAGGAGCTTAAGGAATTTGATATTTGAGAAACATTGCCAAGATGAATGATATGAAATAAAGCTAGGTCTGAAAAAAGGAGATCCAACGAGTCAGCTAATATAGGCCCAGCTAAGTTGCAGTATCAGGTAAGGGTAGATCCGTTTAAGTTAAACGAGGAGAAATAACAGAAATTCTGTCTTTTCACTCCTTAACTCCTTTGGTACAGTGCTGGAAGGCACATTGTCCTGTGGAAATCCATGTAGATCATTTTTTTAGGGCAGGAATAAGGCATGTTGAGCTACTTTGTAGTTTCATACTTTATAAAACTCCTTTTTGGGGTTTAGCAAATTCTTCTTTTTATGAGCTAATACCTAGTCACTAAGTGATCCACAGGGCAGCTCAGCACAAGACATCCTGGCTCCTGTTCTTGGGAAGTTGCTTGGATATGCACAAGGGCTGATCAAAAATACTGTGAGTGCTTGAATTTAAAAATTGATTACAATAAAGCAGCAGTCTCCAGCCCTTTTTGGCATCAGGGACTGGTTTCCTGGAACAAGTTTTCCAAAGACTGCAGGGTAGGGAAACGGTTTGGGTTGAATCAAAAGAGCAGGTCCTTGGATCCCTCCCGGGCACAGTTCGGATCAGGGCTCCTGCTTCTGTGAAAATCTGACGGCACTGCCTATCCGTCCCAGGCGGAACTCAGGCAGCATTGTGAGCAATGGGGAAAGGCTGTAAGTACAGAGCAAGCCTTGCTCTGTGCCCTTTGTTCACTTCCCACTGTGGAGCCCAGTTCCCAGCAGGTCACGTACCGGTGACGCTGCCTCTCCATGCCCTGGCTGGGGCTTTGAGGACCTCTGCAAAGACACATCGCCTTTACGCCCTCCCCACCTTTTTTGGTTCCAACACACTTCTCCATCATTTCTCCCACTTTTGGAAGCAGTTCTGGAAGTCCTCTTGTACACACACATGTTGTCACATGCACACACACATATGCTCACACTTCTCTGGGTGACAGTATTTGTATTGTATCACCACCTTTGTTTTAATTCAGTATCGAATTATATCCATTTAGCATCCAATTAATATTCCGATCTTGATTCATTTGGCAAGAGCCAGTTTTCATGCCAGTATGTGGGCTAACTCCCGTGACCTTTCCAGAGGAAAAAATACCAAGTGCTTTGGGTTTTTGTGCTAATGAGCATTGGGAAGCTGTCAGCTCTTACTTCTTTTTCTGTTCCAGTCAACATCATTGACCTTCATCTAGTGTTTGGTGTAACACATGCACACATGGGGCAAAGATTAAAAGTGGGAAGAAAGGGATAGAGGAAAGGTGTGGGGAAGCGATTTGCAGTCTATCAGGTATCTAAAGTTAGTGTGGTCGCTTAAAAAGCAAGGAAAAGTGCTGTGTCTTACAGTTTGTTGCTATTGGGTAAGTGGGACGAAGTATCTTCCAGAAGTGGATTATGTATTTCTTAAAATATGACTGATACCGTGACAATGCAATCTGTATTTCTGAGTTCCTTTTCTATGGATGAAAAGACCGAGAACGATTTAGTCTTCTGATGAATAGAAAAATAGAGGGGCCTCAGCTTTTCTGGGCACATATAGGTAAATTTTCCCCACTTCTGCATCACCAAGGCTGGCAGCTGTCCTGGTTTGCCTGGGAATAGCTTGGTTTTAGCACTGAAATTGCCTGTGTCCCAGGAAATTCCTAAACCCTGGGGAAAGCAGTATGGTTGGTTACTCTAAATTCATTCATGATCAGCTTGATTAGATACATGTTTTCTAATGTGATGTTTAATTCTCTGTGATGGTTTGTTCTTTGATGGACATTTATAGCTTTGTTGGTCTGAAATACATACATATATATATATATCTACATTATAATAAAAGTACAGAGTTCTAAAATGAGCTTGGATGCCTGTTTAATTGACCTAGAACTTGAGTGCTATGAAGATTGTTAACTTTTAATCCAACACTGTTTTTCAAGATGATTGCCCATGGCCATTCAGTAGGTTGGAGTCAGATCCAGAACTTGAATCCAGGCCCCCTTTTCTTTTCTATGTGTCAAATGTGTCTGAAAGGTGCCTTAGCCCTCTTTTCCGGTACTGGTGCTTGAATCCGGAGCTTTTGCAAAGAGTTAACACTCCCAGCCTTTTTTTTTTTTTTTTTAACTTAGCCGGGCTCACCTTGAAACTGTGATCTGCCTGCCTCAGTCTCCCAAGTAGCTGAGATAAAGGCATGAGTTAATTCGAATGGAAAACTGAGCAGCCCCATGCCAGAGAGAGGCTGATTCACTTGGTGTATGCTCCATTAATTGCTCCCTGGCCCTCCTCGGCATGCGATGATGAATTCATATTGAGGCGCAGTGGCAGGGCCTTCTCCCCCGTGGGGGGCCTGTCTCCTCTCGCAATCACAGACATTGAATCATCCTCCAAGAGGAAGGGTTAATAAATGTGTATATTTCTGTAAAATTGTGCTGTGATCTTGTTACTTCTAGTCTTATTATTTCTATTAATATTTCCAATTAGTATTTTAGCTTGAAATGATAAGCAGAAAACAGCATTTGCGGGTTGCCTTCTGCTGTTTGGAAGATGAGAACATAAATGTTACAGGTTGCTTCCTCTGAAAGATTTGCAGCACTATCTTAAGCCTATATTTTATTTATAGATTAAGCTCAATATTCTGAACCAGCTTCCCTATCTTCCATCTGTTCTGTAATACCTCTTCCATCAAATCAGAAAGAAAAACCCAAACAAACCCAAAACCAGAATCTTAAATTTAACATAAAAATCCTGAAGCCAAGTCACTGTTTTCATTGGAGAGATACTGCTTCTGATGACTTTCTTAAAATTGGGGTATTCTTCCAGGTGAAGTACAGTATTAAGAGACCACCTTTTTCTTACAAAGGTTGAGGAAGTCTTAAGTCTCAATGAGACATTGCTTCTTGGCCTTTTGGCTAAGATCAAGTGAAGACTTAACTAGAAAGACTCAGTATTACTCAGTTGAGGAGTGAAGGTCGTTAGGGAATTTTTCTGAGCTCTAATTTTGTTTCCTTGACTAAATAAATCAATAGAAACCTTTCAGTCTTCTATGTCTTTCTTCCCACTTAAAAAAAAAAGTCCTGTAAATCAGCATTCTTTAATGTAGCAGGATGATTAGGGCATTGAAGAGAATTTTAATTGCCCCAATGCCTGTTTAGTTTGATAGTTTAAGAATGCTCACTGACAGATCCTGGGTGCTGCGGTATCTTTGGCATTCAACAGTGGTAGCTAATTGTGGCTTTCTCAACATGAAGCTCCAGCTCAGAGTTTCAAGGAGAGAATGATGTGGAGTAGTTCAGTGTGGGCAAAGGCCAGCTCACCTTTCAAGTGAATCAGTCTTGCTAAAAAATAATCTGAGCATGGCTGTGGGCCTGCACAGGGCCACATGAGCTGCGACCAGAGCCTTGATTACCACTTGTCTCTTCTTCATCAAGGGGATCATCCAAGATGGGAAGGTCATCTTTATGCCGAATGGATACATAACCCAGTGTCCAAACCTAAATCGCAGTAAGTAGTACCTTAAAGCACTTGTGAGCTTTAAATGTTGCAGAACTTGTTTATAACATCAGAGAAACACATCTGGAAGGACAGACACAGAATACAGTATTGACTTCGAAGATGGGGAGGGTCCCAGAAGAAAACTCATTCTCTGTATTATGTACTCCTGTGTCTGTGAAGTTTGAAAAAGATTTTCGCATTTACAGATTTAAAATTTGAAGGTAGGAAAAGGGTTAACAGGTTCTGTATTGTAAGACAGATATGTTTGATGTTATATATATGTACTTTAAATTATTACTATTTTACAAAACTGTTCTTTAAATTTTTGAATCTGGATGTGAACTCACTTTTCCTCTCTTATAATACTTTATATTTTCCTAGTCACCTCTCTGTCAAAATGAGGGTTAAATTTTGAAATTCACGTGGTCTTTTCCATCAACAGCCACTTTTCCTGTTTCTTTCTGTTTCTTATTAATGAAGAAAAGGATCCAGACCTGAAATCCTCCCTGACTTTACTTTAAATTTTTTTTTTTTTTTTTTTGCTTTTGAAAAGAAATACATTATTGGCAGATGTCATTGTAATCGTCACTTTTTAGTAACATAGTTTTATGAGTAATTTGAACAGGCTTATTTACAGAAGATTGAATTTCTTTTTTTTTTGTATTAAATTCTTTTATTGGTACATTGTAGGTATACAACACAATTACATTTCTCATTGGGAATTGTACCTTTATATAATGCATCTTGGTTCTTATTTTTTCCCCATTCCTAACCCTCCCTTCACGCCCTCCACCCTTCCCTATTTACAAAGACTTTATTTCCATTTTTTCCATTTCTCATCATTTTTTCCTTTCCCTTCTTTCCTTTCCCCTGCCCCTCCCACTACCCCTACCCCTTTGGACCGTTTCTTCCTATTTTACATTATCGATTATTCATTCTAATCATTGGTACATTTTAGGTATACAATATAATGACATTCATCATTGGAAATTTGCACCTCTACATAGTCTCTCTTGGTTCTTATTTTTCACCCTTGCCCAGCCCTCCCTTCAACCCCTCCAGTCCTCCCTATTTACAAAGATTTTGTTCCTATTTTTCCATTTTCTCATATTAATCCAATTCCCTTCTATCCTTTCCCCTAGCTCTCCCACTTCCTTCCCCTTTGCCCCTTTTCTTCCTATTTCACATGACCTATTATACATTTAGTTCTTATTTACATTTTCCGTTTCTCACACCAGAGAAACTATTCGGTATTTACACATGTGTGTCCTATTTATTTCACTTAAGAGTATGGCCTCAATGTGCATCCACTTAGCTATAAATGTCTCTAATTTCTCATTTTTTATGGCTGAGTAGTACTCCATTTTATAAGAGAACCACATTTTGTTTATCCAGTCTCCAGTTGATGGGCATTTGGGCTGTTTCCAAGTTTTAGCTATTACAAACTGCGCTGCTATGAACATTTACTTTAAATTTTAACCAAAAGAGTAAAAAGCCTTCTACCATCAGACAACTGTTTTAAAATTTTCTTTCTTACATTAGCACAAGATCAATATATATTTTATATTTTCTTTATTGAGCTTGCCCTACCTGCAGTGATTTCTTAAGCCTGGTGCAAGGAATAATGGATTTACAAGAGCTTTTGGCCAAGATGACTGCAAAAGTAGGTATCTAAATTTCACCTGTGATGTTTCATTTCTTTCTCTGTCTTATCAAGAATTTAGAGTGATATGTTATAATGGACACATTTTTAGCCTTGGCACCTGAAATCTGTTACAGTAAGAATGTTTTATTTTCCTATGAAACGGGACCACCTCTACTAGGCATAACCGTTCAGACCTTTGATGCTGTTAGGCTGCACCTAAATGTTGTTCTTGAAAAATATTTGGAAGCAAGAGACATTATGTATTCCTGTAGATTCCCTGGGAATGGAAAAGGAATTTACCCAAAGGCTATTAAACCAGTAACACTAGGAGATGATGCATGGCTAGAGCCACTGCTGCTGATATGTTAGTGCATTTTGAATGTAAGAGTTATTGCCAAAAATCAAGAGGGGGAAAGATAGCTGTTGTTAGAAACAGGCTGCTGTCACAGGAAGACCTGCTCTATGCTTTATTTCAGGACTGATCGTAAGTTAAATCATGAAGGAACATTTGGCTTTTGACACTTTCAGTTTTTAAAATTCTGCGTCTTTTCCTCCTCTCCATCATTTCTGGAACAAACAGCTTGTAAGAAACTCCTGTTTGCCAGGCACGGTGTTAGGCTTGGAGGTGCAGTGATGAACAAGATAACCTCTATCTTAGGAATGTCCATATGGAGTGGCTGAGCCGAAATGTAAACAGTTAGAGACTTTAATGTATATTCACACAATGTAGATTCATAATGAAAACCCTGAGCCTTAGTGGAGAAAGGCATTGAAAAAAATAGAAAATGTGGCTAATGCTGTTATGTTACCACTTAGCTAGGGATATGAGTCTGGCCTAGGTGAAGAAAGAATGAGGTTGAGTCTAAGAGACATTATACTCTGCAAAAGGAAGAATTCTAATAGCAGTGAAGACGATCCATTCATTCTCTTCCACTTGTGGCTGTGATTGCTGCCCACCTTCAGGCGTGGCCTGTGGAAAATACTTGGTGGGCACGTAAGTGATGGGGAGGTCTGGCTGCGTTTTGGATCCATCCATGGGTTGTGCCCCTGAAGCGAGTGTTTCTGTTTCAAACTCGATTTTTGGCCAAGCCAGGTCCCCTTTGGTCTGGAAGGTAGAAATGGAATATTTTTGCATAGAGAAAGATTGAGTCTGAAGCTTGAAACTCAACCATTAGCTTTTCACTTCAGAATGTTGTAGAAATGCGAAATGTAGGCAATGATGTGCCATCTCAGCTTGTGGCATATAGAGGCTTTTATTTTATATTGTCTGGAGCAGCTTGACCTCAGTCCTGTTAATTATATTTTAGCATGCTACTAAATTTTAGGAACAAGAAACATGCCACTCAGTCTCAGGTGGTTGTAGGTCTCCATTCTCTGGCTCTGAGGATGCCCTTTTCTTTCTTATTGTGGGGAATGCCATTTTTCTCTTTTTAGTGATACATTATCTAGGAGCTACAGTGAGCTCCATCCTCAAAGCATTATAATGTAAAATGGGCATGGGGAGGCAGAAGATTTTTAAATTGTGGGATACAGCAAACAGAAAATGGTTTAATCTGGCTCTTCAATCCCACCTTTCCTCCTCTGGCGTTTTGTCAGATTTGTAAGTCTGTTCCTTCCAAACTGTGAAGAGAATTATAATTCTACACTGTCTAATGTGTAATCTGTGGTAATCTCAATCAGGAGTTGTCAAAAATTTTTTCTGTAAATGGCCAGCTAGTAAACATTGGGCTTTTTCAGCCAACAAGCAAAATTGAGGATATTATGTGTATAATTAATTTCATTTAAATATAATCTTTTTAACCATTGAAAACATAACCATTGAAAAATGTAAAAACTATTCTTAGCTCACAGGATGTCCAAAAATAAGTGATAGGCCAGACTTGCCTTGTGTGCCTTAGTCTGTCAATCTTTGATCTAGAAAGTTAGAAAGTCATTCAGACTAATTTTTATTGAGCATTTTTTATGTGTTAGTTCCAATACTTAAACATTTTAAATTCATTCTCACAATAATCTTGTCAGCTAAGTTTATTATTCTACTTTGAGAAGTCTACGATCCAGAAAGGTACCTTTTTGTGAGGATATGGCAGAGCTGGGACCTGAACTCACATACTTAGATTCTGAAAATTGACATGACTGAGAAAGGTTATGGTTGGAAAAGAGAGGGGTTTAGAAAGAGGAATGAGCAAATCAGAAGAAAGGAAAAGAGGAACGCTTGTTTGATCCCTTTGTGCAGTTGAGGTGGATTTCCCTTTGGGAGTGAACGTGGAGCTTGCAGCAACCTGTCAGTGGGGAGGGTCTGAAGAACAAGTCCCTTACCTTCCCTCTTGGCTATGAGCTGCTTGTTTTCCTGGAGAGCTGTGAGGACTTGTCAGACTGGGCCGACATTGGGTTTGCTCTTGCCAGAACCTTTCGGGACCAACTCACCTCACCTCATCTGACTGTTGAGAATCAGTCCCCACACCTATGAGAGGCCAGGTGAATTCTCAGGGAAGGAATTTGAAGAGTTCTCAGGGAGATCTCCCTCCACCGTTAGCCAGCACTCAGGCCTGAGCAGGAAGATCTTTCTGTGCTTTGTGCAAGACTTGTTTCCTTTGTATTACTTTAAGACAGGGTACAGTCAGTTCAGTTGGTGAAATACTTCCGGGTATCTAGTCTGCCATCTTGGCGGAAGCAGAAGTGTAGCTTACCCTTTTTGACAGATTGAAGAGGATGGAGTCAGAGATGTGAGGCCACCTGAATGCAGAACATGGTTTCCTGTTGGAGAGAGAACTCTGTGGCACCAAGTCCGTCTGGACTCAGGCTCTGCCATTAGTTAAATAAACCTTTTGTGGCAAGATTGAGTTGATGGAGTTGGAGCTAAGTTTTGAAGTTTGGTCCAGTTGTCTAGTAGCCTTGATTGAGATAGGCATGTAATCACAGATCATGATGGAGGTAAGGAATGGGCTTTGGAGTCAGACTGATCTGATTCTGCACGCCTGTTCGTTACTATGTTTATTAATGTCGTAGCCTTGAACAAGTTGTTGTACTGGAGATGCTGCTTCTTTATATAGGGAATGGTGATAACCATTCCTGGTGTTTACCCTGGGACCAGTTGAATGAAGTTTGGTGCAGGACTCACAGTAGCCATTCAACAGCGGGTGGCTGTTGTTATTTGTAGTGCTGGACTGAGTAAAACAAAAGGGTGGCCATGAGGGGAACATGGTGCCAAGGAAACGCATGCTGCCCTGGTGCCTTGGCATCACAAAGACTGGCAGAGACTGAAAGGTGCCGTCAGGCTATTGGTCTAGAGCAGTTGCTGAGAAGTCCTGGAAAGCAGCTGAAATCCCTTGCACTTGACTCACCCCAGAGCACTGCTGGGGAGCAATCTCAGGGTACAGGCTGGGCAGGAATTGGTAGCCAGAGCCACATCAAACCTAACAGACAGAAATATCCTATCAGCCCAGGGTTGTGTCTAGAATGGCCCCTCTCCCTTTTTTCCTATAAGGATTGAGGATGCTGGTTTCCGTTCACTGACATTCCAGAGACAGAGGTAAGGGGAGGCAAGAGGACTCTTGAGAAAGACTGACATTTTGACAAAACTACAGTCTTCCGATGCTGACAAGGTGCAGGACAGTCACCTAACAGTGCAGTGGCCATTTTTGTTGTTGTTATCTAGCACCTTAGTAATTCCCAAGAGTCTTCTACCCCACAGACTCACCTGATATTCCCTCCAGAAGTGCTGATGTTGCAGAAGCTGCTCCCCTGCGAGGCAGGTGTACTATGATAGGGTCAGGAGATCGGGGGTCCTGTTCTTGAACCCACTTGTGCCGACATGGCACTCTGTCCTCAATCTCAGAAAGAAAAGATACAAGAGACTGGAAAATTTATTTTGGTGCCGGAGATCGAACTCGGGTCCTTGTGCTTGCGAAGCAGGTGGCGAAACCACTGAGCTAAATCCCCGGCCTGAGACTGGAAAAGTTTTAATTACTATCGTTTAGATCTTTGGTAAATCTGTGTAGGCAAATCCAGGAGCACTTGGAGTGGCATTTCAGCTTTAACATTTAATTTTGAGACTTTCATTATTTTGAGGGGCTAAATAATGATTGTTCAGTTAAGCTTAAAGGTTTAACAACAACAACAACATCAACAACAAGATTTTTTCCCTTGAAGAAAAGCAACTGTATGACTAATGTACACAGAGCCATTCATTGACTTCTGACTGTGCAAAAGGCCTCAATCTAGCTGTGAATGTGGAGAGTTAAGAGTAAGTGATTCAGTCCGTGGCTGCTTAGATAAATACAGGAACAAAGGTAAACAATAGAGATGGAGATTTGATGCCATATCTATGTGGGATCTGCCGGTCTTTTCAGAAAATGGGAGGTAGTGTAGAAAAATAGCTTTTGAAAATGAAGTTGTATAAATTCAGCACACTAATGCCAGTGACAGAAAATGTAATTCATTTTTTGATTCAGAGTTTGTTTTTCTCTATTATTGTTGTCATAGGATTTAGCAGGGGAAAAGGAAGGCAAGATTACATATTAAATGCCTTTGAAAAATTAGCTTTTTGCCTTAATATCCTTTTGCCTTTGTATCTGTCTGACACAGTCATTATAGAGATTAGGACTTTTCAGTGTTGTCAGAAAAGGATAAATGTATGAAAAAAAAAACAACAAAGATCAGAAAAGAGACAAAATCCATTATATTAAAACTGAAGTTTTCCTCAGGAATTGAATTTGTAGATGAACATAGCTCACCTTTGATGGTGCAGTATTGATAAATGCCAATATTCACCTTAGGTGAGCACCTAGATGTTCAGGACCTTGGATGAATACAGAATTGCCTTTTGAATAATTTAGTCTTTATGATGTTTCCTTCTTGGAATGATATGGATACCAGAGTTGTTCCAAGTTTTCAGAATAAGGTGAGGATGCTTCTCTCCCAAACAGATACACTATTCTGGGCCACTTTTAGGAGGTCTAATTCAGCTCCTTTTTATTCATTTGCTGGTCAGATAGTAACCTTACATAGGAACTTCTCAGACTTCTAGCAATGAAATAAAGATAATAAAGAATAAGTCGCTACTTCCTTTTTATTATCTCTGACCTATATGTGGTTTGGTCAGTTAACCTCACCAGTCTTGGAAATGTATTTTATCTGTGTTTCTTAAAGAATTCCCAAAGATCTTAATTATCACAGATTCTAGAAACTCTATGATTAGGCTGGAGTTTTAAATGAAACATGAATTTTGGGGCAATCATACATATTAAAAGGAGTCCTAGGAAACTGGTGATATTTCAGGTAGTCAGTCCTTAGTTCTTTGGGGGCAAATCATGATGCAGGTGCTTTGCCGAGGATGTTATTTTCTCTGCCTTTTGCTACCACTCACTAAAGTTAGCAGGCAGTGGGCAAGTTTTCCTGAAATATTCCAAATCCTCGGAGGAAGAGGATGGAATGAATGAGAAATCCAAAAGTTAGAATTACACATGGAGCGTAGCACTGTTGTGAGTAACTGAGAAGAGCACGTGTAGAAAGAAACCATGTCTCACTTGGAAAGTCATTGTTCCTGAGGCCCAACCATTATACCTAATATAATGGTTCAAAATAGTCTTTTTGGGATCAGAGATTGAATTGATTTCTCGTATGGGAAAAAGATTCAAGACATGGATGTGTACAGTGTGATTGAGAAGGAAAAGAGAAACTGTGGGATGAGTTGTTAGGAGCTGGAATTTGTTTTTCATTCACGGCAGTCTGATATAAGGGAAAAGAGAGGAAGGTGATATTGCCTTTGGGCTGAATTGTTCTTTAGTGTGTCTTTGGCAGCAGCCAGCTCAGGCCAAAAACTCTATATTCAGACATTTTTTGCATTGTATTTTTCTTTTCTTGCAGTGTTGGGCATTGAACCCAGGGCCTTGTGCTTGCTGGGGAAGCTCTCTACTACTGAGCCACAACCCAAATCCTATACTGTGTTTTTGAACCCAAATTGAAGTAGGCTGGATGAAAGCAATCAGGAGAGAGGACTGGAACCATATTGTAAGGAGCTGCTAAAGAAAGGGTGGTGGTGAATGTAGTCAAGAGCAGAGGTGAGGCCAGGAGAACCTCAAATGTTGGAAGCTTAGTCTTGCTCAGGGTGGGTTTCATGGCCAAATTAAACCTAGCAGGAAAAAGGCAGAGAGATTTCACAGCTTAAATCAAAAAGGTGTTCCAAACATCCAGAGCTAACTCTTGGGGGGTAATAAGTGTTCCACCCCCGGAGATGTGGAAATGAGCAGTCTCCATGAGGGGTTTCTTGTGAGGGTACCCAAACTTTATAATCCCTTTGGAATTGGAGATTCTAAGACTCTGCAATTAGTGGTAATGATTGAGTGGCTTAGAAAAAAGAAAAAGGTTATTTTACAAAATCTTGATCTTCTTTTTTGTTTTTTTTGGTACCGGGGATCGAGCTCTGGTCCTTGCAATTTCGAGGCAGGAGGAGGAACCAAATCACCAGCCCAATCTTGATCTTAATTAGGGGTTTGCTCACGTCATCTGACCTTCACCTAAACATCACAGGAAATCTCTGGGTCATTCTTTTTGGGGAGAATGATACTGGAAAAAACTAGATCACTCTATGGCTTTTGCTTTTCTGGCCCCAGCTCCCCAGAATTTTTCATCGGAGAGGAAGCCATGACTTTCTAGTTTGTAAACCTGACACTCCGGTTAGTGTGTGAGTAACATGGAGATGATAGGGGGAGATAAATATAAGTGCATTTGAGTTCCTGATTAGATCTCCAGTAGACATTGTAATAAGTCCTTGAGAACATGTTCATGACTAGTTTTTGTGTGGGCTTGAGCTGAAACCACACACCTGTGTGAACACCAGTGAGGTCCTGAGATATACTTTAATATCTCATGTGGTGTTCATTAGACCACGGAAGTCAATATGTCTTCAATTTAGAGTGATTCAACTTTGTGTTTAAGAAAAAAACTAACAAAAAACCCAAATACACAAAGCATCTTGCTAAGAATCTGTGGAGCATTTTATTCTCTCTCCTCTTCCTGTTTGGATATTTTCCCCTTGTTATTGCTTTGTTAAGATGACTGAATTGTACAAATTACACCCTGTAACTCTTCTCCTGCAGCTAAATTATGCAGAGACAAGACTTAGTCAATTGGAAAACTGTCATTGTGAGAAGACCTGTCAAGTGAGTGGGTTGCTCTATCGGGACCAAGACTCTTGGGTTGATGGTGACCATTGCAGGAATTGCACATGCAAAGTAAGTCCCTTTGTAAATAAATAAGCTAAAAACAGTTTAAAGGGAACAAGTATCCTAATTATAGTGTAATTGAGCTCTTTAATATATAATGTTAATTTCTTTATATGTACCGTCCCTTAGCAATTCAAGCAACTGTGAATGCTGAAAAATTGTCATTTGTTATCTAAATCCTTGGAAATTAAAAATGTTGTTGTTGTTGTTGAGGCAGGGTCTCCCTTTGTAGTTCAGGCTGGCCTTCAACTCACCATGTAGCTTAGGCAGGCCTTGAACTCCTGGCGATCCTCCTGCCTCAGCCTTCCGAGTGCTGAGATTACCGGTGTGTGCCACCACACCTGCCTCTTTGAAGTTAAAATTTGATTTCTCTTGCTACACTTTAATTTGATCTAATAATATTATTAAGAAGCTTACTGTTTGGAATTTAGAAGTTGAGGTATAGAGGGGGCAGAGACTCATTTGATTTTCATACATTCTAATAGTTAGCTTTATCACAACTTTTCTCTGCTAGAATAAATTATAAAAAGGGATTTAATTAGTCTCTGTGGATTTTTGCTGTATTTTGCATGGTATCTGTCATTTTTTTCCCAGAGAACTGCAAGATGTTTTCCTCACTTCCTGCTTTTCAAGCTATCCATCTTTCATACTCTCCACCTATTGCAGAGGATTACGCGAGCCCCCTCTAAAAATTAGCATGCAAACCTTGTCCAGTTGAAATTACTTGATAAATATCTGAAGAATGCCATTGTTTGTTCAGGAGAATACAAAATGGATTGTTTGAGCCTCAGAAATGATTGACAGGGTCTGCAAAAGGTGTTACTTATGTTCTTGTAAAAATAGGCTTTTTTGTATTCTGCCTAATCTACTTAGTCCACATGGGCAGGTGGGATGCAGCCAGTGATGTATATCAGAAAAGTAATTGAGGTGACACAGGTTCATTCGGGCTGCAGAAATGCTTTGTTTGTGGTCTTGGAGTGGAGTGGGAATTCCTCACACTATTCTCTTTCCCCGATGAGGTTTTGGGGGTGAAATGTGAACTTTCTCCGAGACGGGAGCTTTTAGAGGATGCACCTGAGATTCCTTCATTTGTGTTTCCTTCCTCAGAGTGGCGTTGTGGAGTGCCGGCGGATGTCCTGTGCCCCTCTCAGTTGTTCCCCAGACTCCCTCCCTGTGCACATCTCTGGCCAGTGCTGTAAGGCCTGCCGACGTAAGTCCTCCCTGAGGGTCAGGGTGGGAAGCTCAGTGCTTTCAGATATTTTTTCTATTTTTCAGGTCCCAGTTGATGGGGATTGAAACAAAATGCCGGCTGTTGATGTCATATTAAGTGTATGATAAGAAGCACTATGATACTTTAATCATCTCTGAGGTTTTGGCTAGATTCTCTTGTTGTGGAGGGGTCTTTGTTAGACATTTGGGGAAGAAATTCAAATCAATGCTGAAGTAATTTTCCTCAGTGCTGTCTGACCACACAGTGTCTTATGGGATGCAGAGGGCACTATTTCCAATGGAACACTGAGGTGAGAATGGAAGTGTGAAGGGAGAGGGGAAGCAAGTCGACTTAGCACAGTGGTTATGTGCCATGTACTGCGCTGGGTGCTGGAATTCTGGAGGTTGATTGGATTTTCACAGCGGTCCTTGCAGGTTATTATCCTTTTACAGGAAGCTTGGGGTTAGGGATGTTAATTTTACCAAAGTGATACCAAACTAGCTTTGTCAACGGCAAAGCTTATATTCTTTATGTCAAGCCACAGAAAAGGAGAATTCGGCTAGAAATATGGCTCCCAGTGGATAACTCCCAAGATCTTTTATTTGCCAAAAGAATTACACCAACACCAGTAGGCTTTCAAAGAATCGAGGTTGTTTTATTGGGGGGGGCAGGGAATAGCACATCACCTGCTATGACGGAGGAAGGAAGGATAGCTGGTCTGGTTGCACCAGCTCAAATGCTTGTTGAACTTTTTTCAGAGGAAGTTTGGAATATTCTCTTTTGTGGTTGGCACAGTATAGCCGATGCTGTGGAAGGTGTTCTTGATGTTGGTTGGTCTAAAGAGAGGAATTTACTTCTGTTCCCGAGGCTTTTTAGAGTCATGCCTGGTGATAGCGTAAGCTCAAATGCCCAGATATTGATTTGTAGTTTGATCCTAGGATGGAAAAAGAGTCTTTAGTAGGTACAGGTTATTTTATTCTTACAAACTTAATATTGTATATAACAGTAAGCAGTGGAAGGGTGAAAAACGATTAGATAATTGTTAAAAGTATGAAATTATTTTAGTTCATTATTTTGAATTCCCTATACAGATCTGTGAATAATTAGAAGATGTTGTTTGAACACAGGAGAAATGGATCTTTTAGTATTTTGTATTTTAGACTTTTGATTTTTTTCTTTTTAAAAAAATGATAAAAGCACTATGCTCACTGCAAAACATTTGAAAACATGGAGGATAAAGATTTAAATGGGAAATTTACAAAATGTGTTATCATATGATAACGATCATGCTTGAAATTTTAGTGGATTTTATTTTTGAGGTCGTACTGTGTAGACTATTTTATATCCTACTCTGTTGACTTACCATTATCACTTAACTATGTTTTCATGCTTTTAAAAACTTGTTCTCTTTTAATCATTGTTGCACATTGTTTGGCTGTTGTTATTTAACTGTTCCCCAGTTGCTGGATATCTAGGTTGTTTCCCACTTTTCACTGTTATAAATTATTCTTTGATAATATGTTTTATATAGAAAATGCAATTTTTTATCCTTTAGTGTTTTATATTTCTTTAAAGTCGTATTCTCCAGAGTAGAATTACTAAACCAAAACCTGACATTTTTCAGGCCCTTGATATATATTATTAAATTATCTTCTCGCTAGGTATATGTGGATTAGTCATTTCTCTTTATTCTAATTCCTTTGAGAGTTTTAAGTTTCAGAATGTTACCTGGTTTTACAAAGATGTTGGTGCACATGCTAGCTAACTAAAATATTGATGTAGTTTTTGCCTTAGTATGGAATTCATATCAGTGTAGTTAGGTAGCACTAATTCTCTCAGCAGCTCTGATTGATAGTTTGATATGCTCAGAATTTAATTGAGATTGCAAATAAATGATTAGGAATACTAATCAAGAAAAATTAGAAAGAAACCAGACAGGGTGCCTTGGGTAATTAAAAGGTTGAGAACCTCTGAATGAAAGACTTTCATTTTTTACTAGTTTTTAATAGAAATATTCATTAGGCAGTTACTGAGGACAAGGGCCTGGAATAATGATGAAGGAGTTTGCCCTGCCTGGGGAGAGTTGGCTTTGCTCAGAGTGCCCAGAGGTGTGAGTGCAGGACATTAGACATGCACGGAGGGCAGTGCTAGCACACAGGCAGACGCTGTCGGAAGGTGGTAGAGGATACTAGCAGCTTGCTCTTCGGAGGAAATAGAGCCAAGTCGGTTATTTCTAGTTTTGTAGAATATGCTTATGTTGGTTTGCCCAGTGGGGTTGAGAAGAGAGGAGAATGAGGGTTGATAGTGGAAATTCTAGAAGTTTTAAAGTATTGTCACATCAGAAAAATGATAGAGAACATTTTCTTTGATCACTTCTTTCAAAGACGTTGAGTTTGTCAGGCAATGCGTGTGTTAATCAGCTCAATTTTGCCATTCCACAACATGTTCATATTTCACAACATCACAGTGTGTGTCGTAAATACGTATTACTGTAGATATTTAAAATAATAGAATATATAAAGAAAGAAAACTGATGCAAAGGAAAACATAAGGCGTACCTTATATGAATAAGCATACAGTTGGGTCGTATTTTTAAATTTACTTTGACAGTCAGGGGTGTTTTGTTTCCACTGGTTCATTAACTCTTTCACATTTAATGTTATTATGGATATGGTTGAAACCACTATTCATTGGATACCGTGTCTTTCTTTGGTTCAGTTCCTTGTGGTCACAATCACTTTTCTATCACTAAGACACAATACCTGACACCCACAATTCAAGGGAGAGAGATTTGTTTTGACTCTTGGTTTCGGTCCACGATGGGCTGGCTCTTGAATAGAACAGGTTGGCAGAGGGCCGTGGTAGAGGAAAAGGGGCTCAACCCATGGCAGCCAGGAGGCAGAAAAGGAGGAGAGGGGAGAGGATGGGGGTGGCCCCTAAAGCATGCCCTCCCGGCACCCCTCCCTGTGGCCCACCTCCTCACAGCACATTTAGCTTGGAACGCATCAGTCCGCCCATTAGTATACCGTGGCTGCCATCTGATCATTTTCCCAAAGCCCCACATCTGAACTCTTGAGAATTTGGGGGGACATTCTACACCTCGACCGAAACATTTGTTTTGTTTTTTTCCATTTCTCTGGAGAGCTGCCTCAAGTAGATTTCTCATATGTGTACCATGTTTCTGTTTTTTTTCCTTGAGTTTGCCTTTTGGTTCAGGTGAGGCAGTATTCTAGAGACAACAACAAAATGTACTGATGTGACTCAGACAACAGGAGCCAATATATAAAAGCAAATTGCTTTGTCAGCTGACTTCCTAAGTCTTTGGGCACTTGTAAGGGCCCCAGGAGCTACAGCACTTACAGATGAAGGCTTCTGTTCGGAAACAAGAAAGAACTTTGAGCATCCAAGGTGGTCTAGGAAGTGGTATTTTTGTTCTGCTCCTCAAACATTTGTTGCATATCTGCTCTGTCCAAGACATAGTGATCATACCTAATGTTAAACACCCCCTCGTGAGCTTCTTCGACTGCAGCTTTTCAGGGACCTGCTCAGACCTACTAAGTCAGTATCTGCAGGCAGCAGTCTCTTAAAACCTGTATTGTTTTGGTAGCTGTATTTGAGATCTACCAGAGATGAGAGGGAGAAGGAAGAAGGAATCTTTCAGCTATGCAGTACAGTATTTGCGAAGGAAGAATGGTAGTGCAAGGAGAGGGAGGCTGTCTGTTTGACGATGTTTGCAGGAGCAAAGTAGAAATAAAGTTGCCAGTGTGGGTTGGACATGAATGATGAAGACTGAATCCTGTTGATGACAATCATTAATTCTTCCTGAGGTCCCTTGTCCAAACACTGTCCTCAATTCTGGGTGCGACAGTGGTGACATGTCGATCTTTCAGTCTACATCAGGCACTGAACCACATCATTTTACATATATTGATTCATTTAATTCTTTCAGCAGCCCCAAGTGGTAGGCTCCGCTATTATTCCCATTTTATAGATGAAGAAGAAAAGCACAGAGAGAAGTAACTTTCCCAAAGTCTCTCAGCCTGGTGGAGCTCTGGCAGTCTAGTTGCAATCTAGTTGATGTTCTTAACCTGTCTGCTCTACTCACTGCACACATTATCTGTGTCAGCATCAAGGGTATTATGTGACATGGACAGGATTTAATTTACAGAGGTGGCACAGAGACACGCATGTGAGGAGGGTGGAGGAAAACTTGGCGGATAGCAGCTCAGCAGGGTATCAGAAAGTAAGTGGGAATCTGCTAGGTAAGCAAGGTAAGAGCACCCTGCCAGAGGGAACTGCACATGCAAAATCATGGTAGTAAACAGAAGATTGATTTTGTTACTTACAAGCAAGATTTTATTTTATGTTTTTGGTACCGGGGATCGAACTAAAGTCCTTCCGCTTGCGAGGCAGGCGACGGAACCACTGAGCTAAATCCCTGGGCCTTAAAAGCAAGATTTTAAAGCTGGGCTGTGGCATGCTTTAAAAAAGTGCTTTTAGAAAGATTGCCACATCAAGAGAGCTGGAGACGGGGGGCTGGGTATGGGATTTGGGTACCTTGCAGGTAGAGGTGAAGAGGCTGGCAGGCAGGCACTGCGTGGGGAGATGCAAAGGAAGAGACCGAGTGACAGCTAAAGGACCCGGCACACAGAAGATTCTCCATAAGCATCGTTTTGTGTCAGCTTCTGGGAGGAAAGGTTGCCAGGTTTTGAACACGATCCTGTGGGAGACTCATGGTGTGATTAACAGAAATAAGGCAGGTGGAGAAAGTAGTTTGTGGACTGATGCATTCTATTTGGCATGTTTGGGTTGGAGATGCCTGAGGGACAACCAGTTTGATGTGGCTGTCTTGCTCAGACAGCTGGTGTTTGAAGCCTGAGCTGAGATTTAGCTCACTGAGGTTGGAAGAATCCTTGAGTGTTCAGCCCCTCTGACCTGCCACTCCACTTTAAAGTGTGAAGTGGAATGCTGACTTTGACATTGTAAGCTCCTGAGTGCTA